ATATATATATTTAGTTATGAGATTTACATTATTCTTTATTTCGCTAGCTGTACCGCTTGTTTGTTAGAAGTATTGAAGGTAGTGAAATATGCGATTTAGGAATGCCGTTTTTTATTCGGAGTGGCCAAAAAACTCAAAAGCCAATTGACAGAAAGGTATGTTTCTTACATAGGTAAGAATTCAGCATTTTGATCTTCAGTTTGCTCTTGTTTTCGTTCTTTTAACCATTTGTTTGAAATTTAACTCCATAATAAGAACTTTTTTGTGGTTTTTATACCGCTTATTTATTCATGCGAGAGTGGCTTTGAAAGTCTCACTTTATCAGATTGATAATTTGTAAATGTGACCTTTTTTAATATGTTATATAGAGAGTTTTCCATATAACTTCTTTAAGGTACGCAAAAGAAAGAATCTGGATGTCGATGAAATTGTTTCTGCTGACGAAAATACGTCAGAAGACGAGTCTGATTTTGTCAAAGAACCAAGTGGTGAAGAGTTTGAAGACGTCCAGGAAACAGCTTTCAGAAAAGCAAAACAATTACTCAAGAGACTTCAGGCAAGTTTTACTGTCGTTAGGATATTCTTTCGTGAGAGCGTGAGTGATTAACCCGAAGTTGATTTTGAGAGGTGAGAAGCTTACCAAATGAATCGGAGCCAAAAGATAGCAAAATATATCATTTCTGACCTGCAATAAAGTCATTTAATGCTGATTTATAAGACTAGAATTTTGGCGTTTTCCTAGAAAATTAATAGTAAGAAACAGGTTCTGAAAATCAATTGGGCTTTTTTTTGTGAACAAATAATCAGAAGAGATTTGGATTGACAGTTTTTATCTTCGTCGCGTGGTCCTTCACTCTTCGGTGGGCTACGAATGATGTATTACATAACTAGTTCATAAGTTAAGAGGAAATGTTTGTTAGAATTGAGTTTTGGATTTAAAACTGTAGGAGTGATATGTGCCACTAACAAGTGAGAGCACTGAACTCTTGTCATACAGAACTTCGTAGCTCATACTTCCTGAGGGGCAGAGAAGGATTTTTAGGATATTCTGTTCTTTTTTCCTCACTTGTAATCTGCTAATTTTGTTTTTTTTTTTAATTGATTTAGGGCTTTGCGCTACACATGTACTAGGTATTCGTAGTGATTCTTTGGTTGTTGTATTTCACTGTGACAGGATTTGTTGGTCTTCTTTACGGGTTTTTTTCGAAGTTAGAAAAGTGAGGTTTACAAGGTTTATGGGTTGTTAAATTAAATTTTTAAACTAAGTTATATATCTTGTTTTTTTAGTGTTTTTTCAGTTGCAGATCTAAATAATAATGTCAGTTTTGACTTTTATGTCCTTGTCCTGGAGTTCAGAATTATTCTTTATTCTTCCACTTTCTCTTTTAACAGTTCTGAAGTGTTTGTTGTGCCTTTCTGCCTTTCTTTTTATTAGGTTCTTGCTAAATCTAAGTCGTTAAGGAACGCTGATTTTAAACGTTCTAGCTTCTTAATGTGAGCTTTAACATTGATTCACTGTTATTTTTTACATCATTTGAAAGAACCGTCTAACAGTATTTTCAACTTTTAATTAGGCTTTAAAAAATTGTTATAATGGTGCGGTTCTGAATATTTTTTTGCATGTTACTTTTAACTTTAACTGGGCAGGCTGAAGAGAACAATGATGGGGGTGAAACAAGCGAGAAAACAGTAGCTGTTCGACTGAAGGAGGAGGCACGGTCGAGAATTGCAACCATTCAAAGAAAAGTTGCAGATACCGTAGCGTTAGAGACCGTGTGTGTACAGTGTCGCCCCCATAGGTAAATTTAACGTATAATTTTGGTTTTTCTACATGCTTCTCCAAATTTCTTTGTTTACGCTTACATTTAGTCCTCTTAAAGTCACTGTATTTTTCTTCTTGTCATCAGTTATATTTGCTTTTCAGATTGTCTGTTGTTGCAGTGGTTATGTCGCACGACCAACGTTACTTAGTCAGCTGTTCGAAAGATGCTACTGTTGTTAAATGTAGGCCTCTTACTGGATTAAAAGTACATTTCGGGCTTCACCTAGTAAACTCTCATTTTCTCTATTAGGAGATTTTGACATTATTTTACTTCTCTAAGTTTTTTATTCTTTTATCTTATTTTGTTTCGTTTCTTTACCTTTTTATTTTTATATTTATTACTTTTTTTTGTTATTATTATTATTATTATTATTATTGTTTATTATTATTATTATTGTTATTGTTATTGTTATTGCTGTTGCTATTGTTATTATTTTTATTTTTACTTCCAGTTTTAATTTTAATTTTCTTTGATTTAATTTTACTTATTGTTTTGTTCTATTCTATTTTATTTTTATTTTATATTCTTCTATTCTTTAGGGGAAAAGTTTGTTAGTTTAGGGTAACGGATGCAGCATGCCGTTTTACTACCTGATTTGTAAAACTAGCTGGTTTCAGACGACATAGAAGAAGGTAAGAAAGTTCGGACTTTAAGGTATTGTAAGGACAATGAGAATACCCATAAGGGATGTATCTATGCACTTGCAATCTCGGACGATGATAGACTACTGGTTACTGGTGGTGCAGACACTGTTATAAGGATTTGGGACTTCGACAGTTTTAGTCATATGAAAAATCTTTTTGGACATAAGGATACTGTTACTGGTGAAGTCTAGAATTGGTTTTTTAGAAATTAATTTTCCTCATGATTTTGGGCTTACATTCTTTTTATTTTTGAATTAATTTAGTCTTATAGGCAGCTGTTCATTTTGGTTTGTCTTCTACAAATTTATTTCTAATAACCAGCAAGTTGTTAAAATTAATAATTTTCTTCTTTATGCCTGGTCTTTCTCATTTTAGGATTATGTTTTCGGATCAGCAGCCACCAGTTGTTTAGTTGTTCGAAAGACCGTACTGTAAAGGCATGGGATCTTGATCAGATGGGTCACATAGACACAATGTTTGGCTACACTGAAGCAGTAACGGATATTAGCGTATTGATGCGGTAATCTCTTAAGACCAGAAATATTCATCTCTTAAATTTTTTTGGTTACTTTCGCCTTTTTCTTTTCAATTTTCGTTTCGCCAGTGAGTTCTTTTTTTTTTTTTT